GGGGTAGTGGGAGTAGGAGAAGCAGGCTTCCTGCCAAGCAGGGAGCCTGATGTGGGGCTTGATTCCAGGACCCTGTGATCATGACCAGAGCCGAAGGCAGATGTTTAATGACTGAACCACACAGGTGCCCCGAAAGAGAATTCTTAACATTAAAAAATTATTGATCTAATGAGGGCATGTTTCATTTATGTTTCTTGGAACTCTAGTTACATGGTGTTTCTGCTTCAAAACCTTCCATTCTGACAAATAACAGTTTGTTTTATTAAAAGACTCCAGGGATTCATAAAAGGAGCATTACAGATCAAAAACCCAAGGTAATATATACTCTTATTTTCCACTTGTTTTCCCTATGTTCCTTTATTTTCTCTTGTTCTTATTTGAATAAATGAGTCTCACAAAGTAGATGCTTATATGCTTGATAGGATTACTATAGTATTGTAGTCTTGTCAGAATTTATGGGAAGAAGCATGACTAAATTATCATTAGTTCCGTTGTTTTAATACACTCTGTAAAAGATGATGCTTGCGGTGCCTGGCTGGCTCAGTCAAGAGAGCATATGACTCTTGATCTCAGGGTCATAAGTTTGAGCCCCATGTTGGGTATAGAGATTATGTAAAATAAACAAACTTTTAAAAAATCATGCCTTATAAAACAGAGTAATAACTATCTTAATGTTTTGTGTTTAAAACCATTATCTTTCTCTAAATATATTCCTATGTATTAACAAGGTTATGATGGAAGAGTGAAAGGGGAATGGAGCTATCTAGGTACCCTGCTACTTTTACCCCTCTTCCTCCCTACCTCCATTCACTGCCTTTCTAAAGATGCATTAAACAATAATAAAAATTACTTTCATATTTTTGGTGTCCACCTACAAACATAATTTTCTGTAACTGCCATAAACTTCTTTTTAAAAGGAAGCAGAAGAACCCAGTGGTCAAGGTTTGGAGGCCAGATCTATCTGAGTTGGAATTGAGCTCAGCTAATTTCCCAGCTGGATAGTTTTGACACATCCCTTACTCTCTTTAAACTTTTTCTTTTGCGCATTAAATAGGGATGCCTACTGTGATGGTTAATTTTATGTGTGAACTTTACTGGGATACCTAGACATTGACCAAACATTCTGGGTGTGTCTGCGAGGCTGTTTATGGATGAGATTAACATTTGAATCCATAGACTGAGGAAAGCAGGTTGCCCTCTCCAGTGTGGGTGGCATTATTCAATCTACTGAAGGCTTGACTAGAATAAAAAGGTGATCCCCATTTATTTCTTGCAAAATGGTATTATACACATTTCCTCATATCATGAACCACCTTTCTACTTTCAGTTTCTATGATTTTGACTACTTTAGCAATTTCATATGAGTAGAATATACAGTATTGACTGTTCTTTTGTGACTATTTTATTTCACATAGCACAATGTTCTCGAGTTTTATCCATGTTGTAGTATGTTACAGAATTTCCCTTTTTAAAGGTGGTATAATATTCCATTGTATGTATATACTACATTTCCTTTATCCATTCATCTGTCAGTTTTGGTTGCTTCTATCTCTCGACTATTGTAAATAATGAAACAATGAACTTGGGTGTGCAAATATCTCTTTGAGATCCTGCTTTGAGTTCTTGCGAATGATATTGTATTTGTAGTATGCTATTATAACCCCTCTTACCTGGCCATCCCACTCCTAAATTTGTTTGCTCTTTCTAAACACAAACATTGCAGTTGGACTTGGGGCCATGGATTCTGATGAACTACATCCCTGTGGGACCTCAGAATGCACACCTGGGCACCAAGCACCTGGAAAACACACAATGATAGAAGGAAAAGAGAAACCAATTTGTGTAACATTATAAAATGAGATACCTAACTTTGTGTGAAGAATGAAGCCACTTATTTACCTTGATTTCACTGTAAAATTTCCTTCTCCTTGATTTTGTCTTTTTCTCGGAAGAAAACCCTTTCAGAGTTAGCTAACCTTTCCCTATGATCATATGGCAATCATTTCCATCCCTATCTTCTCCTTTTTTGGCTTTACTGTTGGAGGGTAGTAATAAGAACTAACCTTTTTTGAATACTTCTATCAGACACTGATATATATATATATATATATATATATATATATATATATATATATACTTTTTTGTATGATAACTCATTTAATCCTCACAAAAGCCCATGAAGAGATCCTGTTTTTAGCTACATTTTGCCAATAAGAAACTGATGCACTGAGAGACTGAGTTTTACAAGGATATTCAGGTGTGTAAAGATATAGGCTAGGGCTTATGGCAGACAGGATGGAGATGACTTTAGAGCAGCACTTGGAAGATACAAGTCTTGGAAGACAACCCCATTGTTGGGGTTCTTTGCACAGATTCACAAGGACTTGATCTTGGCTGCCAATGGGGCCCTGTCAGATGAGCATGCTGGGGTGATATCTCTTCTAGCCCAGCAAGCAGCTAAGCTAACCTCACACCCCACTGACATTCCTGTGGTTGTCAAGAATTGGATAATGGGAACATTATGATCCGGGAACATGATGGCATCACAGTGGCAGTGCACAAAATGGTTCTTGATGTCTCACAGAAGAAGTTCTCCAGCAGCCTGTCATAGGAGTTCAATCCTGCCTATGTTAATTATCTTACAAAAGCATGAAAGTTCCAGCAGTTAGGCCATTTGTTTAGGTGCATTGGGCAATTTTCTATTAATTTTAGAGTGTTTTGGGACACTCAGTGGACTGACCTATCAAAATATTAGTAAGAGAAGACCATGTTTTGGGGCACCTGGGTGGCTCAGTGGTTTGGGCGTCTGCCTTTGTCTCAGGTCATGATCTCGGGGTCCTGGGATCGAGCCCCGCATTGGGCTCTCTGCTGAGCGGGGAACCTGCTTCTTTCTCTCTCTTTGCCTGCCTCTCTGTCTAATTGTGATCTCTCTCTCTGTCAAATAAATAAATAAAATCTTAAAAAAAAAAAAAAAAAAGATTGGCACCTGGCTGGCTCAGTGGTTTAAAGCCTCTGCCTTCGGCTCTGGTCATGATACCAGAGTCCTGGGAACAAGCCTCACATCGGGCTCTCTGCTCCACGGGGAGCCAGCTTCCTCCTCTCTCTCTGCCTGCCTCTCTGCCTACTTGTAATCTCTGTCTGTCAAATAAATGAATAAAATCTTAAAAAAAAAAAAAGAAAAAAAGAAAAGACCATGTTCTGAAACATGGTTCAGGTCACTTTGTATATAGAATTTTGTGATGTTCAATAAATCGGTTGGAGGAAGAGACAAGTATATAAAAATACAGTGATAGGTACAAAGAAAATTGAGCAAATAAAAAAGTACACTTAACTCCAGGAAAAAAAAAGTACAAAAAGAAAGGAATGTAATTATTTATATTACATTTAATAACATTTGCATAGTAAACACTAATGATTTAAGAAAAATTATGACATAACTATATTGGGAGGACAAGGGGAGCGGAGGTATATGGTCGTGAGTATGTGGTTTAAGACCACAGAACTTTCATCATCCATGTATGAAATCAATAGATTGTTCTGAAATTGGTGTATGAAGAAATAGCAATATAAGCATATTTTTGGAAATATAATAAGAAAGAGTTAAAATAGTCGTGTCTGTTTCTTAGAGCCATATGACAGGATTCTGCCAGACATGTTTAAGTAAGAAGGGGTATTAGTTCATAGAACAAGTCCTAGAACTATACCACAAAACTGGCCTGGTTAGGGGGCTGCTGCAGCTGCCCCCAGAACCAGCTGCATTCACTGTGGTCAGGAAACTCAATCTGCTAAAACTAACCCCAGAATATATTGCCTCTGCTGTACTTACACCAGCAAAAATGGACTCTAGCCACTCAGCTGATTTCCTCACATTCTTTTCTTCTAAATCAAAGTACATGAACCTTACTCACATTCCCCATTTCTGTAGCAAGGGTGGCTGGGATTTTTCTCCTAATTCCACTTTGGTAAAGTGGGGTTCACTAATGGGAGGTTGTCAAACTATGGAGAATGCTTTTCATGAATATAGGCATATCTATGTTTGTAAATTCACAGACCATCTTTGGAAGGACACATGTAGAAGTGGCACTAGTGATTGACTTCTGACAGGAGAACAAAATGGCTGGAGGTGAGGTTAAGTGGGATTCATCATCTTTTGAATTTTGTTCTCTGTGCTTCTAGTACCAATTCAAAAACCAAATACAGGGGCACTTAGGTGGCTCAGTTGTTTGAGCATCCGACTCTTGATCTCAGCTCAGGTCTTGATCTAAGGATCATGAGTTTAAGACCCATGTTGGGCTCCACACTGGGTGTGAAGCCTACCTAAAATAAATAAATAAAAGTGTATAGCATTAAAAACAAAAGACAAAAAATAAATACAAATTTTTTTTAAACCTGGAATTAACTCCTGTCTATGAAGGCTGAAGAGATAAAGGATGAGAGAAAATTAAATTTGAAGCCTGAGTGCAGCAGGTGCTTGGAGCTCCTCTGTTACCCGTACTTGTCTATATCTTCACTTTTCTTGTTTTGTGAAGGATATTACCTTTAGTTTCATATTTACAGATCTGTGGTTTACCAAGTAGGTTTTTTGTTGTGCCAAACGTTCTCATATTTTCAAGGTTCTTTGCTTGGAATAGATACATTATAAATATTCAAAATGTGTAAGTTATGAAAAGTGGAACGACTTTCAATAAGAGTTATTTTTTTCAGGAGTTTAGTTCTAGACTAGACTAGTTATGCCTGAGAGTTTTATAATGTCTGTACGTAGCCTTGGCCGTGTGCAGAACACATGCACATATGTTATCTATTACTTGATCCTTTGCACAAGAGTTCCATGTGATCCTTGCTATTCTTAGCTTTGTCCAAAATCTAAAATTAGAACTAGGCTAATATTACATTTCACTTGATTACCAGTCTGACCAAGGATTTTAATCATCCCGAAGCCACACTGAAAACACTTCTCCCTGAAATCCTCTCTTAGCTGGTCATCACTAACTTAGACCATATCAGCATCCACTGACAATGGTAAGTATTTTTCAAAAATATTTCTTCCCCATTTTTCACATGGAAAGAGATGGCTGATGACTTTACTGTGTCTGAATTTGCTAGAATGTACATCTGAATTTGGAATTGAACTTAAAAGTCTCTTGTGGGGTTTTATAGTCATGCATGTAATTGTTTTCCTCTGGAATACTGATTTCCCTAAAAGTTAGAAACATTTGTTTGTTTGTGGTATTTTTCCTTTCTTTCTTTCTTTTGCCTTCAGAAAGTGGACTCTCCCGGGTATATCCTTGCCAAACTATGTGCTTTTCTGTTATGGTAATAATCAAGGTAGAGAACACAATTCTATGCTGGAAGGAGAAATACATACATCATTATTGACTTATTTTCCTCAAAGGGAAATTGGTTGCTGTTGTAGGAAAGCTGATGGCTGAATGAAGTTCAGTGGCAAACTGAAATTTGAGCATATGAATGGTTATATATGTTTAAGAATGATCTCCCTGATATGAGGAAGTGGAGATGCAATGTCGGGGGCTTGGGGGTAGGAAAAGAATAAATGAAACAAAATGGGACCGCGAGGGAGACAAACCATAAGAGACTCTTAATCTCACAAAACAAACTGAGGGTTGCCAGGGGGAGGGGGGTCGGGAGAGGGTAGTGGGGTTATGGACGTTGGGGAGGGTATATGCTATGGTGAGTGCTGTGAAGTGTGTAAGCCTGATGATTCACAGACCTGTACCCCTGGGGATAAAAATACATTATATGTTTATAAAAAAATTTTTAAAAATTAAAAAAAGAAATACACATTTACATGTAGACACTTGGGATATTTAAAAATGTCTTATTATGTGATAAACACTTCAAACTTGCTAAAATCTGAAACAATAAATTGTAGGTTGACTGTGATGTCCCCAGGGGCTTGGATTATCATCATGTATATCCCAAGGTTTCTCGATGGTAAAAAGATCTTGCAGGCTGTTTCTGTGGAAACAGTGAATTCTTTGCTTAAAAATAGAGATCTTTTCCTACTAATATTCTGCATATTGGCAATTATATATCCATCCTCACGTTTTAAACATTTTTGTCCTCTGTAATAGAGTTATTTTGCCACCCCTCTCTGTCTCAGTCTGTCTCACACTGCATACTTTTAAGGAAATCAGCAATTTAGAGAAGATTAATAATGAAAAGCAATAATCTCTACCTCATTCTCTCTATCACTCTAGAAGTAAGCATTTTAACCATTTCAGGATTTAGTCTTCATTGGTTATCTCCATAGGTCCTGTTTTTTGTTTTGTTTTGTTTTGTTTCAAAGGTGGTTATTATTTCTGACCAACTTTAGGCATTATCTATGGAACTTCATTGTGAAAGATGATGCTTAAGTTCACTTACACCTCCATCAGGGTACATCTTATTTTTAATTTCTCCCTTGATTACCTTTATAACTTGAAACAAATGCTTCAATCTCTAATTCTCATTCTGTAAAATACAGTGTCTATGACTCCCCACTTTGAAGATGTGGCTATTAGTGTTCTTTCCTTCTACTTCTCTATTTCCTTCTTCCACATTCTGTTTAAGTATTTATTTTATATTTTCTTTTTTTTAACATATAGGTATTTTTTTTTTTAAAGATTTTAGTTATTTATTTGACAGAGATCACATGCAGGGCTGGATCCCAGGACCCTGAGATCATGACCTGAACCAAAGGCAGAGGCTTAACTCACTGAGCCACCCAGGCGCCGCTTATTTTATATTTTCAAGATGTGTTATACTTAATACATTCTGTTCTTTAGCCATAAATAAGTCTTCCTTGCTTTTTGATAGGTTGATTTATTTAAAATTTGATTTCCATCACTCAAACAGAAATAATGCAGTCACTCATTTGGAAAGCCCCTGGATATCACTAACCTTTTACTGTTTTATTTTTCTCTATGGATCTACATGTTCTGAACTTTTCATATAAATGGGATCATACGTGGTCTTTTGTGTCTGGCCTCTTTCACTGAGCACACTTTCATTCAAAGTTTATCCATGATGTAGCATGTATTGGTACTTACTCCTTTTTATGGCCAAATAATATTCCATTGTATGGATATACCCCATTTTGTTTATCCATTTGTCCATTGACAGCCAGTTGTTTCCATTTTTTGGCTGTTCTGAATAATGCTACTTCAAATTTCAGGTAGAAGTTTTTTTGTTTTCTTTTGTTTTTGCCTTTTTTTTTTTTTTTAGTAATCTCATTGAATATATTTATTGACATAATCTAAAAATTGTCTCCAGCTTTACTGAGATACAAGAGTAAGGTGTACAGTGTGCTGAATTGATACACTTATGTATTGCAAAATGATTACCGCCATGGCATTGGCTCACACCTTCATCCTGTCACATGATTGCTTTTTTGTGGTGTATGTAATAGAGGATTACAGTTCTGTGTCTTTGGATGAGTTTATACCTGCAGGTTTCTGACATCCTAATTACAACATGAAATATCCCCATCGCTTTAAGCTTGTTGAGCACCTCTTTCTGCTGATTTCCACCACATGGGTCCCTGTGTGTCTTTTATTTTTCTTTCACGGAGCATGTTTCTGAAGTGTATCCATGTTGTGTAGATCTCAAATCCCTCGTATGGGAATCATTGTGAATCATTACAGTATGTGACCTTTTGTATCTGGCTTCACCCATTAGGTTCTTTGTGGAGATGAAGAACTAAAAGAATTAGCAGCGAAGCTTGTGGAAAGAATTTGAAATTCCATAATGGGACAAAGGGAGTAGATTTTAAGATCTTGGCAGCAGACAAAATGGACTATGTTGTGACCAACAGAATGGTCTGGGAGAGCCTTCCAATCAGAGCATATGCTGAGTTGGAAGGAAGGTATGGGGTGATCTGTGTACACCAGGGAAGCAGGGTAGGCACCATCCTGGGATCCTGGAGCCGCAGCCATGTGTCTCTTGGAAGAGCTAGTCTTGACTTCCACCCCAGCTAATTGCTGTTGTTTGGCTTTCTTGAGTTTTGTTCTGTGGTTCTTGGACCAAACCTGCAGCACAGTTGGATGGATCTCCAGTTTTGAGGCCATTTCTTTCTGAAGCCTGACAGCAGGATATGGGTTCTTGCTGAACAAGAATTCCAAACTGGCTAGTTTTTTCTCAGTGAACATGGTTTGTTTCCTTTGTGAATGCCTCTAGTGCTTTCCCTTAGGAAGGTGTCCTGTGCCTGACATCCCAAGATCTAGCTGTGTCCCCATGCTCTGGTTCTGTGTCAAGCCAGGTAGAAGTTTTTGTGTGAACATATGTTTTTATTTCCCTTGTGTATAAATCTAGGCATGGATCTTTTTCTATTTTATACTTTCTTATTTTTTCCCATTTTTATACTAGACATGCCTCTTATAAACAATGCACAGGATTTTGTCTTTTATTTAATTGGACAGTCTTTGTGTATTAACTTGTAATACTTAGTAATCAGGAAAATATAAATTTGTGACCATAATGAGATTTTATGCAGTAGTTTGTTAGTAAGGATGTGCATCAACAGGGACCCTTATACAGTTGTAGTAAGAGTATAAATGGGCACAATCACTTTGGAAAAAATTTGGCTCTATTTTATAAATTTGAACATTCACATATAGTATGATCCAGCAGTTTTTTCTAGGTATAGACCCAATAGAAACAATACCACTTGAGCACCATGAAAATAAGGACAAGAATTTTGGAAACAATATTGTTCATAATAGCAAAACCCTGGTACCCAAATACCCACATTCATTGGGACAGAAAAATTAAATTATGGCATAATCATACATTTTGGAGATCATGGCATATCAGTATATGAAATGTTTTACTTTATGGAGCTATATAATTTCCCATGATATGGATGTGCTATAATTTACTGATCGAAATTTATATTGTGGTGTGCCTGGGTGGCTCAGTAGGTTAAGCGTCTGCCTTTGGCTCAGGTCATGATCCCAGGGTCCTGGGATGGAGCCCTGCATCAGGCTCCCTGCTCAGTGGGGAGCCTGCTTTTCCCTCTCCCTCCACCCACCCCCCGCATCCTCCCCCACTCATGTTCACTCTCTCGCTCTACTCTCTCTCCCTCAAATAAATAAATAAAATCTTGAAAGAGAAAAAGTGTCCAAGGCATAGTATTTTTATGAGGATTATTAAGTGAGAGATGATATGTAAGTGTATAAAATAGTCTTGGGAACATGGAAAGGGTACAATAAATATAAGCTATTATGATCATTTCTGGACCTAGTGAACATTCTGAAACACGTTTTTTTTCTCCACTACAATTAGGTCCTTTTTGAGATGGCATCTGTGACTCAGCTATTCAGAACCTAATGAAGTTGGTGACTCTGTGACAATGTGGAGAAATCATGTCAGAAAATGCAGTTTGTATTGGGGCTGTCAATGCTGTGAAGGAAGTTTGGGAAGAAAGAATAAAGAAACACAATGAAGACCTGAAGCGAGAGAAGGAATTTCAACAGAAGTATGCTTTAACGTGTTTGTTATTTATATTTGGTGAAAATTCAGAACATCATCATTATAGAAAATAGTGCTTATTAAATGCCTTAATTGTTGAATTTGGTATTTCTACTTACTGAAAACTCAAAATATAACTGAGGGGTACACCCGATTCAATTAAGTGTGGCTATGTGATGGTGGCCACAAAAAGTACAAGTGTCCATATGTGAAAATAGTAGTTATTTTTAGGCCCTCAGAAGAGTCTGTTCCATGTTCCTCAAAGTTTGATTAGTATCATTGAGTCCAGTTTTCGGTGATTGCTTGTTCAATATTATATCCCCTAGGCAACATCTGACAAGAGAAGGTACAAGAGATTCTCACCTATTTGAATAGCCATGAGTTTCAGCCAGGGTCCCTGTGGATCACCCAATTCCTTGATTTAGGCTGTACTTAAATAGTTTGGCTCTTATTTCCTCTGCGTTCTTGATATCTACCTATTTTCCTGATTGGATGTCTCCAAAACACTATTAATTTTGCAAGAAGAGCCACTTTCCTCATGGATCCCTATGATTCTCACCCACCAGAACTCTTTCTAAGAATCTAATCACTTTTTGTCCTTCAACATATATGAATATTGGCCCATTAATAATGTTATATGTCAGTTATATCTCAGTGGGAAAAAAATGCTCCTGCATCAGTTAGCAAGTACCATAAAATTCAACTAGAAATGGCTTAAGGAATAGGGAAGTCCTGAGGTAAGGCAATCCCAAACCTGAACAGCTTTAAAGACTGGGTTTATTTTTATCACCTTCTACTGCTAATCTCCGTGTGTCAGTCTGGGCCTCAGGTTCTCCTCTGTCTGTGTCACAGGATGACTGGTCCACTTCCAGGCATCACAGCCAGGCATCATTATGTTATCAGAAGAGTGGAAACTATTTCTGTTCCTTCAAGAATGAGGAAGCCTTTCGGAGGCTCTTTAGCAAGGCTCTCCTTCGCCTCTCATTGACCAGAACTGGATCATATGTACTCTCATAATCCAGTCCCCTTCTAGGGGAATGAGCCTGTATGCTTGGTTTAAACAAAATAAGATTTATAGCTGGTTACTGAGGGGGGGGAGTATAATACTTGGAAATAATAGCTATTCCCCCAGTAAAGAAGAGGGGGAAAGGTTCTTGATCAGCAATTATTTTGTGTCTATTCTCTGTACAAGCAAAAATCTGGATGGGGAGAGTCCATTCTTTTCAACCAAAGCCAATAAAAAAGATAATGATGTTGACAATGATGAGGGTAGCAGCTTTTTATTATGCGCTTACTGTTTTCTAGGCACTCTGCTAAGTGGTTTGTTTGTAGCATCTCATTTAATCTGAACACACAGAAACAGAGTGTCTTAATGAGGATGGATTGCATTATGAGAGAAGGAAAATCAAAGTAACGTTTTCTTTTTTTAATTTTTAAAAAAAGATTTATTTATTTGAGAGAGAGAGAGTGGGGAGGGGGGTGAGGGACAGAGGAAAATGGAAAAAGAGAATCCCAAGCAAACTCCCCACTGAGTGGGGAGCCCGCTGAGGGGCTTGATCTCAGGACTGTAAGATCATGACCTGAGCCGCAATTAAGAGTCAGATGTTTTACTGACTGAGCCGTCCCAGTCCCCCCAAAATAATACTTTCTAAACAAGAGATGTTAGCTTTTTTTGGGTATTTGATCTGAGGCTGGAGTCGTACTCCACTGAGTCAGATACTCAGACTTCTATCTTGTTGCTCGACTGTGCGTGGCTTCCTTTCCTAAAGTCACTTAATGGTCTCAAATGATACACCAACTGCAGCCACCATAGGTGATCCCAGCTTGCAGGAATTTGCACACACTACTGCTTCTGCTAACATCCCATTGATAGGATCCATATCTAACTACAAGGATGGCTAAATGAAGTCTTGTGCCCAGTTAAATGTAGAGACTCAATTCTTGAGGAGGAGGAGGAGTAACCATCTCTGCCACACATGAGTGTTCATTTTTTCCCTTTTAAAGATGGAAAGCCTGAGGGATGGGCCTAAGTAACATGTCAAAGATCACACTGCTAATAAATGCAGAACTGGTATTCATACCTAACCAGTCTGATACAGGAGGCATGATATTTACCTCAGGGCTTTCCCTAGATTAGGCCTTTATATATAAAGCAACCCTTATGAAACCTATTATGTTTGTATGTTACAGATGTAATAAACTGGACTCTAGACTACTCTTAATAAAGCCTATCTCTTTTTAAAACAGTGGGCAGATCAGGAATCCTTACTTGCTTCTAAACTCCCTAACTTCACCTATTACACATATTTAGTTAAGAACCATTTAATTGGGGCACCTGGGTGGCTCAGTCGGTTGGGCATCCAACTCTTCATTTTTGGCTCAGGTCATGATCTCAGAGTTAGGGGATCCAGTTCCTCATCAACTCTGCTTGAGATTCTCTCTCTCTCCCCCCGCCACCTCTCCCTCTCCCTCTGACCTCCCTTGCCCCTCATGCACACTCTTTCTCAAATAAGTAAATAAATAAATAAGTAAATAAGTAAAATCTTTAAAAAGAAAATGATTTCAGCAATTTCAAATTCTCTCTGTACAAAATAGGCAAGAGATAACAAGGTTAAGGACATAAACTAATGTTTCTTCTCTCAGCTAAAGGTGGCTAGAGATTTATTTCAAAAAGGCTAAAGTTTAAACAGAAATTGACCTCATTGTCTTTTGATGCCAAGCTGTCTTGAAGAAATTAAGCACTTGGGTTAGAGTTGGTGTGGCAAATCTGAGAAAGCATTTAGAATATAATAAAAAGGGCTCACAGGAGGTAGAAATTTTCTATTTAAAATTGAAAGAATGTCCTGCTTTGACTAAGTAGTGGATAAATTACAGAATACTAAAGGTGAAGGAAATATTAGACATTATTTAATCCAAACCCCATTTTAATAGGGCAAGGCCCACATAGGTGGTAAGAGTTGCCCACAGTCACCAAGTTAAGTGATACATTCTAGACTTAGATCATAGAAATTCAGATCCAGAAAGAATTTAGGAATCATTATAGAGATGGAAAGAGACCAGCTGAATAATAGTTAGCCTCACTGTAAACTCATTAAGGACAGAGCTTTTTGCATGCACAATGTGCAGCATAGCATTTGACATATAATGGCTGCTTGATGAATTCTTTAAGTAAAAGTTTAGGGAATAAGACATCTGATTGCATTTGTCATTAAATCCTGTTCTGAAATACAAAGATCTTTTTGGCAATTGACTATTCAAATTAATTAAACCTATGTTCTTTGATAACTGCTTATATTTCTTTATTATGTATCATTCTAAGACACCAAAATTACAAAGATTTCAATTCTAAATGTCTTCTTTCTCATTTTTCCTATACTAAAAATTTTCTAGTATAGAAATAAAAATTTTGCAAACTTTTACCAGTTATTTTCATAGCTTGATATTATTCTTATGTATGTCTGCAATGAACCAAAAATCAATAGGAATGTGTTTTTAGAATGACAAACGTTTTATGCATATCCATATCTGAAAAATGAAATCTGAATAAAATTGGAATGTAGTTGTATATAACTTAACTCTGAAGTTGAACTGTATTATTTGAAAGTCGTTATAAAGTTATTAACTATCGGGGTGCCTGGGTGGCTCAGTAGTTTAAGGCCTCTGCCTTCAGCTCGGGTTGTGGTCTCAGGGTCCTGGGATCGAGCCCCGCATTGGGCTCTCTGCTCGGTGGGGAGCCTGCTTCCTCCTCTCTCTCTGCCTGCCTCTCCACCTACTTGTGATCTCTGCCTGTCAAATAAATGAATAAAATCTTTAAAAAAATAAAGTTATTAACTATCTATGGATTAGGTATCTAATAAATGCCAGTCAAAAAGACAAAGAGCTACCTCTAGTTGATGGCTCTAGGATGGCTGTGATCTAAACCATGGACACTAACAGAAGTAGGCAAGGATATGAAGAAATCGGAAGCCTCATGTGCTGCTGGAGGGAAGGCAAAATGGTACAAGCAATTTGGACATAATTTAGCAATTCCTAAAAAAAAGTTAAAAGTAGAATTACAATAGGATGCAGCAATTCTACTCCTAGGACTATACCCAAGATAAAGGAAAACATATGTCTACATAAAAACTTGTTTACAAATGTTCATAGTGGCATCATTCATAAGAGCCAATAAGTGAAATTAACCCAAATGTCCATTAGCTGATGAACAGATATGTTCATCATAATATACACCAACAAATGTGGTATATTCGTGCAGTGGAAGATTCTTCTTCTATAAAAAGGACTATAGCACTGAAACGTGTTACAGCATGAGTGAACTCTGAATAAACTTATACTGTGTGGAAAGGCCACATATTGTATAATTCCATTTGCATGAAATGTCCAGAATAGGCAAATTCATAGAAATAGAAAGTAGATCAGGGGTTGCAAAGGAACTGGGAAAAGGAGGAATGGGTGTGGGTTTATTTTATTGTATTTTTAAACGTTTTTATTTTATTCCAGTTTGTTAATATACAGTGTTGTATTAGTTTCAGGTGTACAATATAATGATACAAAAATTCCCTACAACACGCGAACCTCATCACAAGTGCACTCCTTAATCCCCATTACCTATTTAACCCATCCCCCACCCACGTCTCCTCTGGTAACCATCTTGCTTGTTCTCTATAGTTAAGAGTCTGTTTCTTGGTTTGTCCCCCCCCCCCCCGCTCTCTTTCCCCCCCATTTGCATATCTGTTTTGTTTCTTAAATTCCACATATGAGTAAAATCATATGATATTTGTCTTTCTCTGACTGACATTTCACTTAGCATAATATCCACATTGTTGCAAATGGCATGATTTCATTCTTTTTTACGGCTGAGTAATATCCCATATATGTATGAGCATATATACACATATCTATGCATCTGTGTGTGTGTGTGTGTGTGTGTATATATATATATATATATATACACATATATATATACATGTATATATGTTTGTGTATACACCACATCTTTATCCATTCATCAGTTGATGGACACTTGGGCTATTTCCAAAATTTGGCTGTTGTAGGTAATGTTGCCCTTCATATTGGTATTTTTGTATTTCTTGGGTAAATACATAGTAGAGCAATTGCTAGATTGTAGGGTGGTTCTATTTTTAACTTTTTGAGGAAACTCCATACTGTTTTCTAGAATGGCTGCACCAGTTTGCATTGTGCCTGGAGTTTTTTTGAATGATGAAATTGTCTTGGACCAGATAGTGATGATAGTTGAGTAACTCTATGAATATATCCAAAACCATTGAGTTGTATACTTTAAAAGGATCTATATGATATGTGAATTATATATATCTCAATAAAGCTATTACTTAAAAAATCTCTGGAGAGTTATGACACTTTCAAAACTTAAATATAGGACACTTATGATACTAATCATATTTATAATTCTTACAAAACAACTTCTTTTCTAATTTCCAGATACTATCAATCAAATGATTGTTTTTGATGGATCACTTTTTATGTAAAAGTGAATGCTACCTGTGTATGTCATTATTGGTGAACTAAAATGTTGTTTTCTCTCTTAGGCTAGTGAGGATCTGGGAAGAACGAGTAAGCTTAAGCAAGCTAAAAGAAAAAGTCATCAGGGAAGATGGAAGAGTCATTTTGAAAATAGAAAAAGAAGAATGGAAGGTAAGATTCATAGAAGTAATATTCTTCTGTATTTTGCATTTTGTGGGATAGTTAAGAAAATTACTCTGAGAGTGTATGATTAAGTCCAGAATCGTTAGAAATTCTAATTTTAATAATACACCAAATGAATTTGGGCAACATGAACAACTGAAAAGAAATATAACTTCACATTTTTTTTGGTAAAAACTCAATCAGTTTGCTTCAACTCTGCCTAAACTTAAGTCATTTGCAATTTTTCTCCTATTAATCCTACTAGTAAGCAACTTCTCATTTTCCATAAAAAAGATGACCATCTGCCTAACAAAAATCATATAGCTTTTCCAAAACAAATACTGAGCTTAAAGTCCACAAAATGGAATAAGATATTCATCTTATTCAAGGTCTACTACCTGATTCATATTCTTTCTCATAAATACACATATGCAGTTGCTTGATTACATTAGTCATGCTCTGATTTTTATAAGGGTATTTATACTTTGGGTCAGTGTTTGTTTTCATACATGTAGGTATAGTTAGCTAGTGGTTTATTTTCTCTGGGCTATTTTAGGTAAACAGAAAAAGGCGTAGAGTTCAGAAAGTTTGAAACTCTTAAAACCTTTAAATAAAAAATATGTAAAAAACTTAGAAAATATTTCAAAACATAAGGCAAAGAGAAATTTGAATTATTGATTAAAATGATTTTTGTTTCTCTAACCACCACATTCTCATTTCCAACTACATATGTACTCTAAAAAAGTCTAATACAACAATATCTTTAGGAATTGATATATGGGTGTGCACTATTGACCAAAATACATTATCTTTGTTTATTGTGATAGAGGTTTGAAGGTTTACTACCCCTACCCACAAAGAAGAGTTCTTAAAACTTGGAAGTAACACAAAGCACTTGGAAATATAACCCATTAAGGAAAAAATAATCCAAAAAACACAAGTCAAGTAATATCTCTACAATTATATTTCAGTGTGACATGATACTAAAATAATTTAAGTAATATGGTAATTCTGTCATTTCTTTTACTTGAGTTTAGACCCTCCCTTCTTCTCTACTAAAACTGCGTCAGCTACAGGAATGGCAACTTCATAGAACTGGTTTATTGAAAATTCCTGAATTCATTGGAAGATTCCAGAACCTCATTGTATTAGATTTATCTCGAAACACAATTTCAGAGATACCTCGAGGAATTGGTAAGGAAGATTGACTTTATTCCCTCATTTTTTCTGAGAATTTTTTTGATACATGGAATAATGACATCATTTTTACATAGCCCCGAGTCTTGAGAAAATTGTAGACATCTAAATTGAAGCTTTCAGAAGATCCAAGTTTCTGGGATTTACAGAAGCGATTTAAGATAAGATTTCAAGGCAAGAAAAGTCTCTTTGGAAACATTGTATGTATTCTGGAAACAATGTCTTTTGTTCAGTTAATCCTCCTAGAAGAAAACAGGTTGAAGGTAAGAAAGATAGATTCCTTAGATGAGAAAAAATCCCCAATTGGAAAATTGGCCACAATATAGGAGATGAAACAAGATGAAAAAAAAAAAAAACCCACACATTTTTTTGCTTATAGCACAGATAAACCCCCTTATTTTTAGAAGGGGCAGGACAGGAACTGGGAAAAGGGAAGAACCTGAGAAGTATGATTTGCCAATATGAAACTGGCAAGTAAGTTATGCTGTCATACTGGAAACATTATTTTATATCCATCTGCTCTCTATTGTGTATTATTTTTTTGTAGGACTGCTCACTAAACTTCAAGAGCTGATTCTTAGTTACAACAAAATCAAGACTGTCCCCAGGGAACTAAGTCATTGTGCCAGCTTGGAGAAACTAGAACTTGCTGTAAACAGAGACATCTGTGATCTTCCACAAGAGGTCAGAAAGACATCAGTGTCTATGACTTTATTCTCCACCTACAACTGGTTTACTTCTCAACGGTGTGATCGCCAAAAATACACTAACGAAGAAATACTATAAACTTTATTTCAGAAAATATTTAGTGATAATCATTTCCTATTACTATAACACATATTTTTATTTAGAGAAATACCTACTTACCATAAAAGATACTTCTATTATTGTCACAGTACAGACATCATTTGTGATCTCCTTAAAGGCCAGAGAAAGAGTCTTCCTTATTTCTATTTCCAGAATTGAAGGCACAGCCTAAGTTGCAGTTGTTATTTAATAAGTGCTTGTTGGATAAATGATTACCACAAAGCACAGACAATGTGGTGATGGAGAATCTCTTTTGTTTACTACTTGGTGTTTATAGAGTGATCAGGGTCTGAGATAGAGGTGAAGTGGTAAGAAATGAGTTCTTCAGTATCAGAAAAGTGTTCCTTTGCTAGTTTCTTAATTTCTGCCAAGTAAAAGCAAAGCAATGGGTTTGCAGAGCCTTCAAACTTTGATTTGGTATGATGACTTGTTATTAGTAAAACCAAGCTGATCATAGAGATGTAGACACTTTCAAACATATTTCAAACATATTTAATGATCTTACAATCAGCAAATTTCCAAGGTATTGACTTTGCAAGAGGAAACGTAAGAAACATAGTAAGACCCAAAACAAAATAGAAAGCCTATTCCCTTCTCCCATTCTCCACTATTTTTTGTGAGAATATCACTTTTCTCTCCCACACCAGTAAATATGTCACCAATTATTGTTGCTCTTGCAGATAAAGCATAGTTTCTACATTTATATCTGTCTCTTCTTTTAATAGTTCAACTTAATGAAACATATGCACTTATTTATGATGAAAATGATGATCACGGGGACAATTTCTTTATAAGAGGGCAAATAAATATTTTATTTTGAACTTTTTAAAAAAAGTAACATAATGTATTATTTGCTTCAGGCTACAGGTCTGTGAATCATCAGTCTTAACCCAATTCACAGCACTCACCAGGGCACATCTCCTCCCCAATGTCCATAACCCAGCCACCCTATCCCACCCCCCAGCAACCCTCAGTTTGTTTCCTGAGCTTAAGAGTCTCTTATGGTTTGTCTTATTTTGAACCTCTAATTCCTGTGATTTTTTTCTAGTATTGGCTCCATCACTAAAAATGCTGTATGAATTTGGGCAAGTCTATTAACCTGTGTTTGCCTTAATTTTTTCACATAAGAAATAGGTTTTATTGGGGGCACCTGAGTGGCTGATTCAGTTAAGTGTCTGCCTTCAGCTTGGGTCATGATCCCAGGGTCCTGGGATGGAGCCCCGTATCTTTTCGGGCTCCCTCCTCAGCAGGAACCCTGCTTCTCCCTCTCCCATTCCACTCCCCCTGCTTGTGTTCCCTTTCTCACTATGTTTCTCTCTGTCAAATAAATAAATAAAATATTTAAAAAATACATTTTATTGGAACAAATACTAAACTGAGATCTTAAGCCTGAGATTACTTCCAAGTATGCCTCTAAGTTAGCTGGGTAGCCTTGAACTCACCACTTTCTATAAGGTCTCCATTTTCACATATGCAAAATAAAGACTTATTATAATGTTAATATCTTTCCATATAAAATCAAAGCGTTCTAGCAGGACTGAGAAATCAGTAACAGGAGGAGACTTATCTCTCAGCCACTACATTGCACATACTGTATACACACAAACATATTTACGCCAATGTGAGAACAACCTTTTTATACTCCATTCTAAACCATTGAAAATTTTTAAAGTCTGATGACAGATTTTGAAAAAATGTTTTATTTGTAACCTGAATTCTAAGGCTGGACAAATGTTATCTACTAAATGGAAACCTCCTGTTTTTTGCATTGCCCATAAAACACTGTATTTGTGCTTTTTTGTATGTGTGATGTTAAAGATATGGAACAAATCTTTACATTCCCTGAGATAAAAATAAAACAGAACTTGCCTAGATAAATGGAAATTCTTTTGGAAAAGTTAACTGAGTTCTCACATTTTGAAACTTATACTACAGTGTTATACAGAAAGTTTAGAAATTTTGTGGCTTTAGGTCCGTGAAAACTTGAGTGCACATCACACATCATTTCTAGTTACATGGCCTCTCTCAACCACTTTGTCCATAAAACAGAAATAAGATATTTACCTTAGAAAGTTGATGAATAAACTAGAGTTGTAAGAATCAACATGAATACACTGAGACACTGTTATTAAGAGAAAAAAGCAATTTCAGGGATGTACAGTTTCATAATCTTCAAATAAAAATACTAACTTTTGTTTGTGAAAACATATAATAGCGATTACAGAAAAATATATAAAAACATATATTTACGGGGCACCTGGGTGGCTCAGTGGGTTAAGCCTCTGCCTTTGGCTCAGGTCATGATCTTGGGGTCCTGGGATCAAGCCCCGCATCAGGCTCAGTGGGGAGCCTGCTTCCCCCTCTCTCTCTGCCTGCCTCTCTGCCTACTTGTGATCTCTCTCACTGTCAAATAAATAAATAAAATCTTAAAAAACAAAAAACAATCCCCCATATATTTACATATGTAATGAAAACAAGAAAACATGCACAGGAATAATAAATACCAAATTCAGGAGAGGGGTTCCCTCTGGAAAGGAAGAAGGGAGGAACACATAGAAGGCAGTCAGTCATATCAATATATTTTCTTTCTTCTTTTTTATGGATTTATTTGAGAGAGAGAGAGAGTGGAGGAGGGTGCAGAGGGAGAGAATCCCAAGCAGACTCCCGGCTGAGTGTGGAGCCCAGGGTGGGGAGGGTGGGGGAGTGGGGGTTGGAGGATGGGGAGGTGCAGTGGGCATCTCAAGACTGATGAGATCATGAGCTGAGCCGAAACCAAGTCAGTTGCTTAGCCGACTGGAGCCATCCAGGCACCCCTCAATATATCTTCTTTCTTAAGCTGAGCACACTGGTGTTTGGGATGTTATGCTTAATAAATTTCCATTGATGTTTTCATTGAAAAAATAAAATTACCCAACAGTAAGTGCTATGTCTGAGATAGCATACTTAAAGCATCAGGTACAAAAAAGAGGGTTCAATAAAGATAAGTATTATTTTGAAGTTTGGGTTTTCCCATACAAATCTCAAATGCAGGATGAAAGGAAAATGCAAACACAAGCAGGTTCTGTAAAGGCTGGATCTTGGGTATTTGGAAGATAAATTTTCTTTGAATAGATGAGCTTTCTATAAGAGTTTTTCAATTCTCCGGAGGTTATTTAGATTTATTTTGATTTCAAAGTTATTGTGGATGACTAGGACTAAGTAAAGCCCAAGCGTAATGTGAACATTTGTTGATGTGAAACAGCTCTACCAATGTGAGTGTTCTAGTAGTTTTCATTGCGGACATTTTGAAAACCCTTGCTTGCCTCTTCAGCTCAGCAATTTGTTAAAGCTTACGCACCTTGATTTGAGTATGAACAACTTCACTATAATCCCTCTGGCGGTGTTGAACATGCCTGCTCTCGAATGGCTTGACCTGGGAAGCAACAGACTTGCACAACTTCCTGATACTATAGAAAGGTAAAGTATATGATTTTCTGTGCTATTAGCAGATGTGTTGAAGGCATCCATAATAAATAACAGATGAAACAAAGGGGAACCCAAGTGTAATCAATCACAAGAGATCCATGTAGTACTAAATATGCTACTTTTAAACAATATTTTCATTTACTTAAGTATAAGGGCTTTGGAGAGAAAAACTGGCTGTCTGATTTCAACGTGTTGACATGAATACGTGCAGTAACATTACTTAGTACATGCCAGGCCCTCTGGGCTTTACAAATGGATGAGGAAACTAATGTAGAGATGTTAGCTAAATTGCTCAAGATCGCACTATAGTGTGAACCTAGGGAGCCCGGCCCAGAGTCCAGGCTGTTTGCCATAATGAGTACTTGTCTTGCCCAGCTAGGCAGATTAATAATTTCTGAATTTTCTCCTAACCCTCTAGTTCAGACTGGACAATATTTATAGTCATTCTTTCAGAAATCCCATGAGAATAGTGAAGAATTATAAAATGTGTTGGTTTCCTTTCTACCACCACATGCTGAGAAGTGTGCTGTAGGGATTAACCCTCCAATGCAGTTTCCCTAATAATCAGGTAATGTGAAGTCAGTTAAGTCAACTGGTACACCAGTTAAAAGAGATGTTATGAAAAATGACATTTCTTTTTAGGTAGTAAGAACCAGGGTTTTCATATCATGTATGATTAATCGCAGAAACCTCTTTTAATTAGAATGCAGAGTCTACATACATTATGGCTACAACGGAATGAAATAACATGCTTGCCAGAAACAATCAGCAATATGAAAAATCTGGGTACTCTTGTTCTCAGCAACAATAAACTGCAAGATATTCCAGTGTCTATGGAAGAGATGACCAATCTGAGGTAAAAGTTGTAGGCATAGAACTGACATGTTCCTTTCTGGCTGCAGAACAAAGTAATATAGAGAAATTGTTATTAGTAGATTTGAATTCTCATTCATATGAATGAATACATTTAAAAAATTTTCCAACTTTGAAATCCTATAATTTATAAGTAGGGTTCATGTAATACTGGTCAAAATTATTCAAGAAAGAATCCTTGAAACAAAAGTCATACTGGGATTGTGAGCTTTTAGGAATGCGCTCGGCTGATGACATTTTTATGAAAATCATCTTTGGAATTGGTAACAAACCTCATCTATAAATAAAAATCAAAAGCATGAAAATAGTGCTTATTTTCCTTCTAAATAACTAGTGGACACAGGCAATTTTGTTACAGATAGAATAAATAAAACATTATTACTAAGTTATTTACTCTCAGAACTCCCTCACATGTCTTCCTTCCAAAATTTTGTTTCCTGACAGAGAATACAAGATGTGAGAATTCACATCAAATCCCACAATTCCCATAACAAAATCATCCATTCATTCATTCACCTATTCAGGAGCTGCTGAGTCTTGTACCTGATGAAGATACAGTGATATATAAGACACAAGTCTATATAATATTGCAGAAACTTCAAGGTCATAGCATTAATTGTATATTTGAAATGCACTGGAATTGCTCTGGGAAGCTAAACTTCATATTAAATACATGCAAGGGAATAATAGTCACTTCGATAAGTTTTGACAATGAGTTGTCTAAAGCTAGTGTTATTTTTCCCTTCTGGAAAAGAAACTTAGATTTTTTTTTTTTTTAAAGATTTTATTTATTTGACAGACAGACTCCACAAGTAGGCAGAGAGGAAGGCAGAGAGAGAGGAAGGGAAGCAGGTTCCCGCCTAAGCAACGAGCCTGACATGGGGCTCGATCCCAGGACGCTGGGACCATGACCTGCGCCGAAGGCAGAGGCTTTAACCCACTGAGCCATCCAGGCACTCCGAAACTTAGAAGATTCTTAAGATTTATTACATTTTACCAAAATGTTCGGTTACTGAAATCAGTTTTTAAAAAAGTAATTTAGTGTATTACCATTTGATCTTTCTCCAGGGAAATAAATGTACACTTCTATGGCATCTATAAAAATACTGTTTTTTGGTGAACTACTAGGTTTGTCAACTTCAGAGACAACCCATTGAAAGTGGAAGTAACACTTCCTCCCAGTGAAAGCACAGAAGAAGAGGAGGAACAGGAATTATTTGGCCTTCAGTTTATGCATGCATATATACAAGAGTCCCGGAGAAGAGCAGGTATGGCTTTTTTATGTAACACACATCAAATATTTGATAGAGGAATGTATATATATATAAAAATTCCTTTATGGATTTCTCATTCCATTTTATCTTTTCTGTCAAATTTTGTCTCTTGGTCAACATTGTGGGAGGAAAAAACTGAAATTCCAATCTGTTCACAGTTTTGAGAAAGGCTTGGAGAGAAGTTGTAAAGGTATTGAAAGTTCTTCAAGTAAATAAATTTTTATTTATTTTTCTTTAAGAAAAAATAAATTTTTCTTTAGCCAAAAACTTGAAGCACAACCAAGTGAATGAAGATGTTACTCTTTTATTTTTTATTAAGATTTTATTTATTCATTTGAGAGAGAGCACATGCTCGGGGGGTTGGGAGAGAGGGGGAGGGAGAAGCAGACTCCCCGCTGAGCAGGCAGCCAGCAGGGCTCCCGCCCAAGACCCTGAGTCCATGACCTGAGCCAAAGGCAGATGCTTAACCAACTGAGCCATCCAGGTGTCCCTGAAGATGTGATTCTTAAAGCTTCACTACCTCATTCTAGCAGCTTGTCATATATTTCATTACCTTCCCTGTCATTCCTCTTTTTCTACAGCAATACAAATAGCAATACAATAATTTTGCCTAGGAATGAGAAATATTAAGAGAACATAGATTTTTAGCCAATAGTTAAAATGTGAGGTTTTGATATATAGATTTCAATCATTCAGTCTCCAATAATTAAGAATTAAACCACTTTTTCACTGAAGGAAAGCCTTTAACTTAAACCAAGATTAGAAGAGGCCAAAGAGATAATTCTATTAATAAAACTAATGAAACAATAGTACAGTAATAGAAATCATAGTTTTATAATGCACTAAAACATAAAAAGTTTTTGAATCAAAGTTCAAATATAATTTATCTTCACATAGTTGCTTTGGGGAAGGAGTATAATCCAAGAAAATGACAGCGTTTTAGCTAGAATAAATAATTTTTTACTAACATCCAGTGGCAGATATTAGGAAATGGTCATCTGATCTGTGGTAGCAGGCTACAGAAACAACAGCAAGGAAAAATAGATTGGGAGACAAGTAAAGTTACAGTTTGGGGCCTTGTTTGGGGTATAAATACATAAAAAACCAGATAGTAGATAGAATTGGTGAATGAATGATGGGAAATGAGAAGACCCCAAGATTAATCTGTTTTTGGTTAGAGCAACTGGATGGATAGTGATGCTGAGATGAGGTGGCAGAAGTGGAAGATGCGGAAATCTGACATAGTTGTGGGACATGTGGGAAGAGGTAGTTGTTTGGATGAATCTGAAAGTTCAAGAAGGGGTTTACTGTCCCTGTAAATTTGGCAGGTCAAGGAATAGCAATATACATATCCCACATAGTTACTTTCTTATGGTATCTTAAGGGAAATAAGTTTGGGGAAAACAAGAATCTTGACCTATAGCTTGTTGAAGGACAAGCTCATCTGTCCATAAAGTACTTGGTACCATTTTCAGAAACATCATGAAGCTAAATGGGCACAGGACTATTATAACTATTGAGTGTATGTCTATGTTTTGTGAAACATAATTGAGATTATGCCTGTTGTAGAATATTTTTTATTCCTTGGCATAAATTGTTAAATGATGCAAAACAGATTGTATGACACAAATTAGCATTGCCTGACCCAATAAAATCACGCAAATTATCAAATGATGTATACTACCTTTATTTATGTTCTCTTGATTGGGCAGCATGAATAATGAACTTGAGAAATAATCCAAACTATCTTACTTTAATAATATTTGGCACAGAACTTATAAAAAGAGAAAAAAGTTATAACTTAAGCAGAGATAATTAAACCAAGTTTGTCTATTGTTATTAAAAATAGACTATGTGAATTAGTATTACTAATGTATTTATTGAGTACTTACACTGCGCTTGGAGCTGTTTTCAGTATTTTACACGTGTCATCTCATTTGTTACAACAACCTTGTGAGGTAGGTAGTATTATTATTATCTTCATCATCCTCAGTTTAAAAAGGGAAATTGAGGCACAAAGAGATTAAGTAGTTGTGCAAGGTCATACACTGAGATGGTAGGGCAGGATCTGAACCTAGGTAGTCTTATAAAATATAGGAGATTAAAGTGGAAAAGCCAGGAATTCAAAATGTGTTAGGCTTCTATTTTACAATTCATGTGATCATAAATCTATATATAGGATAAAAAAGTTACCTAAGAATATCATTATAGTACCTAAAATTATTAATTCAGATCTTTGTCTTGGCAAAGGTACCAATGATTAAGACAATTTTTACAAATAAAGACAGAAATACATGAAGTATATATAACATGAAGACAGTAACAGTCCTTACTATATGTTTGGCTTAATATTTGCTTTGCATAGAAACTGCTTATACATTAAATAAGGCCTAAGTGTGAGGTGGTTTTTGGTTTCATTATCTAATTTCCATTTTATTCCAAATTATTTTCTCAAAAGGAGAGGATATACTTTTAATTGTGCTTATATGTATAAAAATGTCCTTTTAAAAGATGTGATAATTAACTTCAGAAGTTATTTCAAGTTTCAACTTAATTTGTGAATGAGGTTTATAAGTTATCTTTTTGGAAGTTCTAACTAGATAATTATTCAATTAAAAAAATGAAGTGAAACAGTTTATTTCCCTTGAAAACCTTCTCTTCAGTTTTGCTGTTTGTCATGGATAAATTCAGATAACACATAAATACATGTATGGCTCTGGTAATCTGAAGGTGAATTCATTAATGATTGTGAATATCTCTGAATTTCTTTGCATTAGGAATAAAAAAATCACAATTGATTATACTTTCCAGATTAGAATGGACAAAAAAACCCATATATAAGCCAAGTTCTCAGACAAGCCCTTGGTACAAACAGACAATTGATCATACATCTTGAACTTGAGAAGTAAAAAGTATTAAATAAAACCAAAGGACAATAAATTTCCAAAATTAATACAAATAGAAAGCTAATGTGCTAGTTGTGTATTGATGTGTTATGTGTGTTTCAGATAACCAAGTCAACTGTTCAACTACTTTACCAATCTCTATAAATACTGATGGATAATATAACTCAAGATGCCCTGCTGAAGAGAATTACTTTGAGAATTTGAATTTGCTAACATTTGGACTTCTAAGTAAAAAACAAAGCTATTACCAAAGTTCAGTGAGGCCACAACATTTTTTAAAGTTCACATCTCTACTACGTAAAGTATATTTCATTAATATAAAAATACAACTAAAAAAAATTTTTTTTGGTGGAAGACAGATGTTCACAATTTCTTTTCCATTAAGCAGTTGTTTCTGGTGATGAAGAATGATTTGGTAAAGCAGTTAACAATACATTTTCCAAAGACACCAGAGGATCTGTATAATACTGTAAAGCAGGACTGAATCCTTTCTGCTGTAAATACTCGACTCGGCCTTGGTCAATCAGCAATTTACAAAGATGCCCTATTTTCTTCTTCTCTTCAACAGTAAGGAACCTAAACCGAATAAATACAAAACATTGTTAAAATTTGTAAAAGTTTACAAAAAGTTATTTTAGTCACTACTATGTATTGATAAGTTCTGAAGTAACCTGCAATATACTAGGTGCAACGTCCCATGCTTCCAAAAGACGTTTTATTTATGTCACAATAAAAGTGTATTTTAATGTATTCTAAAATTGGATGGTAAAATGCATTTTCATGAGCAGATTCCTGGGGACATTTATCTAAAAAGAAAGTCCAGCAATAATAAAACATTTCTGCCCTGGTGTCACGCATTTCCAAGAAGTCACTTACCCAGGCGCACTCCCACTGCTTTCATCCGTGATTCGGCATCCCCCGTCGTCATGCTCTTCACTGTCATCGTTCTGCTCATCTTTTCTCTTTGTGCTGAGACTGGAGGCTTCCAAAGATGTTTTTCGCATCCCACAAGTCGCCCAACTACTCATTCGCTGGAAGTAGTGGAATTCCACTGCTCCAAGGCCTAGAGCCCTGAAATACTCTTTGCCCACATAATGTCTCCAATCACACCTGTGGTGACAACAGAGTGCAATAACAATGCCAGCCACAGGGCTCCACTTCTCTGGGACATTTTTCTCATTTCCTTTCTTGGCCACAGTGTTAATTTCTTTTCCTGTTTTATCATTCTTTATGCGTTTGGCTAAAGGTTCTTCATTCCTTTCCTCACAACTGGCAGCATAGGTTTCAACCAAACATCGTAATGCAAGATCTGCAAACACAATTATGTGGCCCCCCCAAACCACAGCATCTTTAAAAATAAGTATTTTTTACATTTATTCAGCAGTATGGTTTCTAAAATCCCCAAAACAAAAAACCTGTTTAGCTTTATACTTGTAAGAATTCTTCCATGAATTATCAATTTTGCTCATATTTGCTGTTTTCTCATTAGCATCTCATTTTCACAGATTTATTCTACGTCCCCCCAAAACTGGCTAAAGCTTAAGTTCTACAGTCTGTCAAAACTTTTAGTCCAACTAATCAACTTGGCTCTCATTTCTCCTACTCTACCTGAGGAAAACGACTTGAACAGGAAAAAAAAAAAAAATCATTGATCTATCTACACTTACATTCCAGGAAGTTTTGAGCTTAAGAAACCCAAATGAAGAATGGAGGGAAAAGGCATCTGCTTAGCATCTGCTTAGACTGATGTTAGGTGTCAGTCCTGAAACATATAATATTCACAGCAAATCCTGAGAAGCTGAAGAGCTGGTAAGAGGGAGTCATTCTGTGGAAAGTAGACCTCACTGAGCAGCCTTATGTACTTGTGCATTCATTAACTACTGAATGCCTTTCACATGCAAGCTTTGTGAATGTAATGATGACTATATACATAAACGTCCAAGGTAGATATATTCCACTTTCAAAAGAGTTTTAAACTTAAAAGCTAAACAAATAGATTTTTTGATGACTATGACTATTTCCCAGTGAAGACTGCTCTATGGTTGACAATACTGGGAAGACCCCAAATATATACTGTAAAACAAACAAAAAAAAACCCAGAAAACATATTTTCTGTCTGATTAGGCCAGCATGCTGTGCCTATTCAATCAAAAACATATTTTGAAATTTTATTACCCTAAGATGTCACCAATGACTATTAAATGACTTAGTATTTTACTAGTAAATTTAATTCAATATATGAGTTGAAGTCAATAAACACTGGGAGAAAGGGATTTTCATAAACTATTATTAACTGACAAAATATATTCAAGTTAGTTTTATTTATATTGGACTTAAGTAAATGAATTTCAGAAATGTGAATAAAACAGAAAAATTATTAGAAGAATGAAGTTATTTTAGAATCAGGAGGAGCTTTTAACAATCTATTTTAACCCCTCCTTTACAAAGAACTTAAAGGACAAAATGACATACCAAAGAAAGGGACTAGGAAACACAGCAAATTCATGGTCAAGATTATTCATTCATTTACGGAAATGCTTATTGTTTCTATTATATGCCAACCACTGTGTTAGAACACTCCCTATGTGCCAAAAATTCACAGCATAGTGGGAGAGCTAGAATTATATAATAGACAACTAAAATATCATAAAGTAAAGATATGTGGATGGGATTATGATAAACAGAACTTGAAGGAAATCAGAACTTGACACAGTACAGTACATGGGAAAAGTACACAGGATTTCCATTTGCTGACCAGCAGAGCTGCAGGCAGGAAGCGTCAAAGGCTGGAAGGCAGGGGCCAGACTGACAGCCGGTCGTCCTGTTAAAGAGCTTAGACTTTATGCTCTAAGTATTAGGAACTACTGAAGAGTTTAAGACATATTAGGTATGTAGCCAAAAGGTCTAAATATTAATAATTAAAGAACAGGTAGTGGAAGGAGACCACGAGAGAAAGAAGGGCATAGATGTAGTAGAAGAACCAGGAAAGAAGAATGTCACAATAGAGAATGAAAAAAAATTTCAAGAAGGGCAAGCAACCAGGATGCCTGGCTGGCTTAGGCTGAAGAGCATACACCTCTTGTTGCTATACCACATGACCTCGCGGGCATGAGTTCAAGCCCCACGCTGGGTGTGGAGATTACTTAAATTTAAAAAAATAAATAAATAAAAATTTTAAAAAAGGGCAAGCAACTACAGCAGAGATTTTTCAGTAAGATAAGAGTAAGAGGGATGAAGGAAAAATTCAGAGTGACTTAAGAGGGGACAGTGTGTGGAACCATGAAAATGGACAATATAGATTATATTTTTGACAAACTTGGGTCAGATGGGTAAGAGTAAATGAATGCACTTTTTTCCCTTTCCCCAGGACAGAACTGGTTTATGCCAGAAGGCTCTTATGAGGGTCAAATGATATAAGGTACACAAGTCATTTTAAAAACCATGAAGGACAACACAAGCCATTTCCCAGCCAACCTGAATAATGTCTAATGGAGGCTCCAATTTCCTTGTATGGAAGTTGATGAAACCAGCAGGAGCCAGGGAGATGTAGTAATAATTAACATTCACTAATCTGTGCCAGACATTTACATGTAACCTGGTAAATTATATGTTATCTCTGTTTTACAGATGAGATAACCAAAGCTCAGAAAGTTTAAGTAATTTGCAAAGGTTACACAGCACAGCTGATTTCCAGACTATCCGATTTCAAAGCCCGTGTTCTTTCTACCTTACCATGCTACACCTGACAGATGGATGTGCTAAAATAAGACATCTTCTATTTTTTATCTAATATTTCTTTTTTCGTTTTCCCCAGAATCCTGGTACGTATAATCATCTTCTAGACTAGAGGTTTCAGAGTCCTTCCCAAGCAACTTCTTGAAAATATCAGTAGCTTCTGGAGTAGAATCATACAGTTTCCATAAATGATTTGTTTCCTTTTTGGTTGAAATATAACCCAAAAAGCTTTAAGTCTTTTTAAGTCTATTTACATCTAAATATCTCAGTATTTACATGTAACACTCTTGATTCATCCTGGCCAAAATAAGCAGATAAATAAGAAAACTCTATATCTGATCTAACATAGGGCCAGTGCTACTATGAAGATTAATGAGTTGTAAGCATATGTGATAAAAACTAACTCAAGAGACTATTTCAATGACTGGAACCATGTTAAGCTAAAACTTAGTGTGTTCATATAGATTATTAGTATGTTTACATACCTGTTGCTACACCACATAGATGCTTTCCAATTCCTACCACAGGTAGTTTTTCTTTGCTTAGCAAAGGAATCTTATCTGAAATAAAAGGAAATAAGAACCAAGTTAGCATTCTTGTGAGATGAGACATTACCAAGGCCTCCTGAAAAACAGAACTAATTTAAATCTTTGAATTTAAGGGCTGAAAGAGACTCAAACAAAAACTTCTCACTTTATAGCTGTGGAATAAGAGACTCACAGATGTAGTGACCTGAGAAACAACACAGAGGGCTGCTGACCAGCCAGAATTAAAATTAAAGTTTCTTTCTTCTTTTTCCCTTTATTTCCCTCTTGCCCCTGGTGGGGCCTCTTCTCCCAAGGTAAAGTTTCTTGACTTTTGGGACAGTATTATTTCTTCTATACTGCCTCAGGACTTTCCCCTGTATAAGCCTTACTCTGCTAAATATTAACTCATCGATAAAAGAAGTCAAAGCTTCCCCTGCTACAAGATTTATTTTGAAAAAATAATATATATGATAAACATTTATGAATAACATTATAAAATACAATATTCAGTATTAATTAAACTATAGACTTTACTGTTTCTTGATGCTCAAAAATAAGATATTATCTTAGCTTTTCACTTGTTTTTTAAAAAAAGAAAATATTCAGGGCGCCTGGGTGGCTCAGTGGCTTAAGCCTTTGCCTTCAGCTCTGGTCATGATCTCAGGGTCCTGGGATGGAGCCCCGCACTGGGCTCTCTGCTCAGTGGGGAGCCTGCTTCCCCCTGCCTGCCTCTCTGCCTACTTGTGATCTCTCTCTGCCAAATAAATAAATTTTTAAAAAAATTTTAAAAAGATAAAAAAAAGAAAATATTCATAACAGTCCTGAAAAAGTAAAAAAAAAAAAAGAAAAAAGAAAAAAAAAAGGGTCCACAGGTAATGCAGTAAGATGTAATATATCACAGTTGTGGTATGGCCTCATCCCACCCACCATTTATTTTCCTTTTTATAAG